AGAAATCTAAATTTTTGCGATAATCTGAATTTAAGAACTAATTTTAGGTACAATAATTTCCATGGGCTCTTTTGATCATTAGTGATGCCAATCTACATGTTTTACAATCTATAAATTCAGATTTCTTCTGGCCAGTAATTGAATATTTCTACAAGTATTGTCCTAAACTTACTGTTGGGACAAGTTCCAATGTGCCATGCACATTTTAAATAATAACACTAAATTACTTTGGGACTGAACCATATCATTGAATGTGCTCAGAATTAGTCTTGGCTACTGGCTGTTTGTCATATTCAAAGAGATATAATTATCCACAAGACTTTTCCATTTCATCCAGAAAAAGACATTGAAAAGTTAAGAAGAAAACAGTCTATACTGTAAATATAAACAGTGCATGACTTCATCCCTCCTCCCTGTTTGACTTTTATTTTGTGGCATTTCAGAATGTTGTGTTTTTTATAGATGCAACAACAGTTTCTTATGTGGCACCAAGTCCAGTGTTAGAGCCCAGTGCTTTATTCTGTCTTGGTAGATTCTCTGTAAATTGGTTACTCTGTATTAATGAATTTCTGTAGAAAAGCTTTTGGAGGTGTTGCTAAAATTAAAGGCAGATTCACTGGATTCAGGTAGAGCCATGGTCATCTGAGAGTTATGCTTAAATACTTTTGTGACTAATATCAGAATGTGAAAGTTTTTTAATCTTCTTGCAGTTAAGAAACAAAAAAGCCAAGATGAATAAGAGTGACAAAGAGCGCATTTGCATGTTTATAATAGTATAGCTATAGTCTAATTACTGGAATGTCATTTCTTCCTCAACTTTCCTTTCATTTCATTCAGTGATGTTTTATTATGAAGCTTTAAACTCCTGTCAAGTTACAACTTTGTGATTATGATATGTTCACCACAAGTTTGCTGTGTTCACGTAATCATATTTAAACAAAATATGGTTGCTCTAGCTCCAATCCAGGGAGCAAAATATCATTTATTAATTCTTATCTTTTTCATTCTAAAAGTTCTTACATTGTTTTCTAATGAAAATAAATTGAAATTATGTTGTGATATTTAGCTTTACTAACTTAAAAGTCATGTCTGATTTTGCAGATCCTAATTTTGTTTTATTTTTGTTGTTTCTTTGTAAGTACTTGCATTTGAATACATATGTACATTTGTTATGAAAAGGATCTGTGTAAAGTTCATTAAATAAGACCCATTTTTATATCTTTTTTTACATAGCTTTTTATATTATTCAGTGTGAAAATAACTAGTTAGATTATATTGATATAGTTTGTAGAATCTTCAGGTTGCCCTGATTCCAGCAGCTGTATTGTTGTTTTTGTTTTAAATTTTAAAGTAAACCCTGAAGAGTCAGTTATCTTTATTTTTGCAGGCTTGACATTTATTTTTGCCAGATTTTAAGTCATAATTTTACTGTCCATGTCTTGTTATTAATGTTATATTCATACAGAAAACATATAATAAAGTGTTACTGTGACCTACTTTCCAAATTCCTCTCAGATCTATAGAGATAATGATCAGGTCCCAGAAGGATTTAAAAAAGGTTTTTCAGCTCACATGTTCATAAGACATAGCCTTGCATCCATAATCACTCATTCTCTGTCCATCCATCAACAATTACTTGAAACTACTGTGATGACCATGTTTCTGATCTGAGTATGATCTACTTGGAATATGGCCTTATATCAACAAAATCTCAGAAGAGTTCATTAATGAGTGAGATTTATGTTTATTAATGAAGTAAACTTAATCTGGTTGACTGACATTATTACCACTATGGAAACCATATTTCAGACCAAATTTTGATACAGTTTTGAAATGTGGACCTGTATTGTAGAGTTCTTGGTTGGGTTTAATAATGAGTGAGAGTATCATTGAGATCTTGGTTGAGTTTGATAATGAATGAGAGTATCATTGAGATCTTGGCTGGGTTTAATAATGAGTGAGAGTATCATTGAGATCTTGGTTGGGTTTGATAATGAGTTAGAGTATCATTGAGAATTTGGTGGGTTTGATAATGAATGAGAGTATCATTGAGATCTTTGGTGGGTTTGATAATGAGTTAGAGTATCATTGAGATCTTGGTTGAGTTTGATAATGAATGAGAGTATCATTGAGATCTTGGCTGGGTTTAATAATGAATGAGAGTATCATTGAGATCTTTGGTGGGTTTGATAATGAGTTAGAGTATCATTGAGATCTTGGTTGGGTTTGATAATAAATGAGATCCTGGCATATTAATGAAGAAATCTTGTATCTGCTTGGCAGACCTTGTTACCACCTTGGAGTCCATATTTCTGATCCAAATATTGTAAATTTTGGAAGATATGCTTAAGTCTTCAAGATCTTATTGGGGATAGAGAGTGAGTGAAGTCTTGACATATTATTGAGGTGAACTTGCATCTGATTGGCTGAGCTTGTTGCTGCTCTGAAAGCCATATTTCTGATCAAGTTTTGATCAGACTTGGAATATGCTTATATCATCAAGATTTTTGACAGTTCAGTGATGACATCCACAAATACTAATGAGGTCATCTTGCGTCTGGTTGGTTGGGTTTGTTACCACAATTTAGGCTAGATTTTTTAAAACTGATTCTGATCAAACTTCGAACATAGGCATGTATGATGGAAGATCTCACATGGCTTTAATAATGTACAGGATTTATGTATAGTAATGAGGTGATCTTGCTTGTGATTGCACTCCTCGGAAATACTGATTGCATTGGGGCTGATGGAGAAGGATGCGCATCCTTCAAAAAAACCCACATGCAAAAGAAAAGAGCAATACAGAAACAAGAGGAAAAAGCATGTGCAAAGGAAGGCAGAAATCGGCCAATGCATGCAAATTTTTCATGCCGGCTTGTTGGTGAGGTTCTGACTTGTCAGGAATTGGGAGATTGTGATTTCTTGGTCTAAACAATAGAGGAAACATTTCAGTCCTGTTGACAAATATCTAAAGTATCTGGTTAGTTTCAGGTAGAATCTCATGGATGGTGAAAGCTTTAGAAGTATAATCTAACAAGAAAGGCTGACTACGTAGAGGACATCAATAACTGACTCCTGAAAATTTTGGTAGTGATTCTGAGGTTGTATATGGCAGTACATGCGAAAGACTGCTAGCATAGTCCTCAACCCATGGCAAAGAGGTTTTATCCTGGTGAAAAACATATACCTTCTAGAGCAATTAATTAAGCAAGCAATGACATGTGAAAAGCAACTGAGTGGCAATCTGCTAGATTTAGTAAAAACATTTGACACCATATTGCACTGATATTTAGTGGCAGGTCTGGAAGGGTTTCAGGTAAATCCAGATTGGGTTGAAATTGTAAAAGATCTGTACATGCATAGCATCCTTCAAAGTGAGTTATAAGCATATTACCAAAATAGCTATCACATGAAGTGTCAAGCAAGGCAATCCATTGTTGCCACTCCTGTTTAGTATTGTCATTGGTGCAATCTTCTGCCTCACAGAGTAGTGACAGAAAGGCTTTGTCTATGATGCTACAATGAAGTTATCCATATAGGGTCGATGGACTATACTGATGACTCCTTCCTCCTGGCCATAGGTAGAAAAAGAGCTGCAATCCAATCTATAAGTGTTTGCAGCATTTACCAAAGACACTGGTATGGTCCTGAATGTGAAGAAATTGTGTGCTTTTGCCATCAGTCCTACAGGAAAGAAAGCCTACAGTGAATGAGAACATGCCTTTCATGGTGGACAGGATAGAAAATCCCATGGTGAAAGTATTTGCTGCTTTGGTGGTGAATATTTGGCCAGGACAGGATTGATGAGAGACAATCCTATGCAGCTTCAATGAATGGTGCTGGAAAACCACAAAAGTGGCTCAGAAAATCCCAGGCAGAATCTGACGATCTTATCACAAAACCTTATCCTGAAGCTACTCTTTGGCTTCAGTCTTTAAAGCCTGGACAGGCTGAAACTTAGGGAACTGACTGCACTGATAAGAAACTGGGCAAAGAGACGGCTTCAACCCCTCCCAGAGTCAACTTCATGCCACTTCTTGTACACAGCAACCTATGAAAGTGGCCTTGGGGGTCACAACCTTGCCATATGGAAGATGAACTGACAAGAAACCAGCACAGTGAAAAATTGTATGAATGGTAAAGGAGGCTCCCCAATGAAAATGTTGTAGATCTGATATCCAATATGGTCACCACAGAGGCCATCTCGAAAATATTATCACTAATTCTTGTGAATAAATATTTTTCTTTACCAAACAACTTATGTTTAGTAATTCCTAAATGAAAATGGTGTCATTTAGAAACCAATTCTTGTTATCACTATACTATTTATCTTGAATGAAGGGTCACAGAAAGATTTCATTTGAAGTCTTGTTGGTCATGGATAAAAATGGTGTTTATTCAATGCGTACCACAATGGTCATCTTGAAAATCTTTCTATGACTACTTCATGATGGCTGGTCATACTGTAGTTTCAGCAAAAGACATGTTATGACATCTAGTTGGTATTATATGGAAACTATGCCAATTTGACATCTACTATGGCATGATGGTACCTATCTTGAAAATCTTTTTATTACTATTTCAAAGCAATAGACACATCAGCATGGGCTTATAAAGGTGCTAAATGAAAATTTTGCAAATCTGACACCCACTATGTCCACCATAGCAGCTAATATGAAAATTGTGTTATTGCTATATAATATATAAGATGGTTTCAAGACTCAGCAGTTAAATGTAAGAAATTGTCATGTATTAAATTCCTGGAAATTTTTTCATCCAAAAGAACATCAGTCCATTTGAGGGATTCTTGTTTAATTTAGAGATTGTTGCTAGGAAGACCATTTTGCACCCTTTTTTATGATAACAATTGAACTTCTTGTTTTTAGCCCTAGAAAAGAATACAGGTACTAAAGGCATTCTATGTAATGAAAAGGAGTTCAGATTAGGTCAGTATGCTGTTGATACCTTTCCATTATTAAATGGTACTTAACCCTTTAACCGCTCCGGTGGCCTAGTGGTTAGTGTCCACCTCGGATGTGGGAGGTCTTGGTTCGAACCCTGGCCGAGTCATACCAAAGACTTTAAAAAATGGTACTAACAGCTGCCCTGCTTGGTGCTCAGCATTAAGAGGTTAGTGTTAGGAATGGTCGGCCTGGTTTCAGGATAATGTAACTGGTTGGGACCTTATGCCATATGTCTGCGGCATGAAGCCCCGGTTCTAGACATCACTATATACTGTCACACTGCAGACATCATGCAATATGACTGAAAAATTGTTAAAGCTATGTTAAAAATCTAACACACTTAACCCTTCACACACGCACACTTAACCCTTTTTTCCACAAGTTTGCTTTTCTTAACCTTTGCCCTGTCTATGCATAATTATGCTTTTACCTTTGCCTCTCTCCATCTACGCATTTCTACGCATTACACAGTATCAACTATGAATATGTTACATCTTCCTGTTAAATGTTGATTTGCCATGAGGTAACCAAATGCTAGTCAAAACTAATAAATTGTCTTTACAAACATTTGATTTTAATGACATTTCCTAACATTAGAATTTATAAATCTTAATTTAACTGATCAATTATATGTAGGAGGGTGTTCCTTTTAAAATATTTCACAAATTTGTATTGTTCCTGCTATTACCACTGCTCTATACATGTGCCATTCCACTTTGGACTCCAACTACCATGTTATATAAAGGGAGATCTGTAAATGATCAGTGTCCAATTTTAGATTATTAGGGGTTGACTTCACTTTAAATATGGAGGATATGACTAAACTTAATTATTCAAAGAATTTGAAGGAAAGGAGATTAAACAAGATTCACTTACACTTGTTCTTTTGTTTGAAAAAATTTTCCTTCATTTGGCACATTTTAGTAAATTAAGATGGTATATAGCAAAAATTGGTTTTCCAATAAATTGTTGAAAGGAAAATTGAATTAAATGCAATTTCTGAACTCTCATTAAAAATGAATTTTGAGTGATATTATTTATGCTTTATTACTATAGAAAATAAGCTATCTACATTTCAGTATACTTGTTTCAAAATGTTATTAACTGAGTTAATATAGATCATTTCAAATTGTATACCAGATGGAGAACATGTGTTGTATTTATTCAACATCTTTTTATTCTCAAGGATACAGTTTTGATGAAGAAAACTAAAAAAATCTTTAAAACAAAATAATTTCTTACAGTGCTTCTTTTCACTTTGATATCGTCCGAGTGGAAAAGGAAAATCAAAAGTTTTTGAAAGTTGAAATAGTTTTTGAAAAATTTCATTTCTGAGATTAAGAGAAATTAATAAATTTATTTATGAAGACAAGATGAAAACTTAGATGACAAAGCTGAATAGCCAACAATAAAATTTGTCCAGGTTGTTAGACCCTGCAGTATGTACAGATGTGTAGTCCACTTATTTTGTTTTAGATGTAGATTGCACAAAAATATGAAATCAATTTGCTTTACAATATCTTCATAAAAATATTTACATAATTCAGTTTCTGAAAAAATTCATTTGTTGAGCATTTATTCTATTACTGCCCAGGTAAAAAACAGTTTTGGAAATTATGCAAAATGGATCCAAACTTGCGACCCAAATGTTAGAACTTATGTAAAGATCACATTAAAATCCAAAACCTTGTGTATTAGTGCAAATTTGTTTTATCTTATAAAAGGCTGGAAAATATTTAGCCAAAGTTAATAATGGAACAGATGGTTTTGAGAAAGAGTGGACCCTATTGTCAACCTTTGGTTTTTTTTCTTGAAGCTGTTTTACATTTTTATGTGCTTTTTGCATGAAAAGGAAACAGTGATATTTGAACAAAACAAGCAATGCAATGACAACATGGGGTTATTGAGTGTCTTTGTGTAGAATGAGTGTGTGTGTGTGTGTGAGAGAGAGAGAGAGAGAATTTTGTTTGTTTTTAACATCACTTTTAGCACAGAACTGGCTTTATCTTGCAAATTAACTGTTGTCTTTCCCAAGAACACAGAGGAAGCCAACCTGGGTGGAAAGAGATATGAGAGAGAGACATATTTGTGTGTGGTAAAAATTCTAGCAGAGTCTGTTGAAAGTAAGTTTGATGGATATGCAAAACATTTATGGCAATTGTTACTCAATGGTTTGATTTAATAATTTTGCTTGTCCAGAATATGAAATTTGAACAAGTGCAGAAGGTGGAGGCAGCCATATTCAGTGGTCATTTAACTCGTCAGAAATCATTGTCATGTTTAATTGGAGTAAATCTTGGAAAATAAAGGCATTTTTATTGCATTTGTAATGTTCATATTAAAACTGTATTATATACTGGAGTTGAAAACAACTTGGTAGAGCATAACACATCCTGTTTTAGAGAGTTTGTAATAAATTGAAATCTTTGTTTTAAATTGGCAATAAAGTTAATAATAGATGAACATAACTACATCTGTAGTCATGACATCACTTGTTTTACAAAACATTTAGTTACAAATTAATTTAAAATTAATGTTATACATATTGTAGATCTGTTGTTTGTTGCTTTGGTATGAAATAAACTATTATTCAGAATACACATTTCATTTTTTTATGTTCAACCTCATTGACAAGTTTAGTTCACACAGATCATTTGACCATTTAATCTGTGGTAATCATCATGGCACTGGTCATCATTACTGTCATCAGCTTCAGTTATGATGGCAAATTGACCCCTGTGAGGAACTAACCAAAATTTAAAGACATGACATGTATCATTTACATTTACTTGTCTGTTAATATGAGAAAGTCATATATAAATCTCATAGGCTGGCATCATGTTGTATATTAAGCAAGTACAACATTTATCTGATGATAATTCCATCTTCGCTTTTATAAGAGTTTCACAAAATCTTAAGAACACTTGTTTAAATATGATACTTATTAGAAGACAACCTCCCCCCACCTTTTCAATTGATTTAGAGGGCTTGTCACTGGGACATATTGTACAAGAAATACTGTATCAGCTGTTATCATAGGCAAACTGCAGTATCATCGTCTTCAGTAAAAGGTATATAATTGTAGGACCAACAGAAGGCACAAATTCTAAATTGCCATATTTAGCTAAAGCCAAAACATCTTATTTCCTATGTATAAAGGCAAAGACAATAAATACTCCTGTAAAGTTTTATATCTTCAGACCATGTATAAAAGCAAAGATGATACTTTGAAGTCCTGTAAACTTTTAGTTTATCAGGCTCTATACCAAGACAAAGACAATACTTCAATTGAAGTCCAGTAAATTTGTATTTATATACAAAGGCAAAGATTATACAATGAAGTCCTGTAAAGTTTTGGTTCATCAGGGTATATACAAAGGCAATGACTATACATTGAAGCCCTCTATATTTAGTTCATAAGCTATTTGCAAAGGCAAAAAAGTACTTTAAGTCCTGTATATTTAGTTCATCAGGCAATATGCATAGGCAATGACTATACTTTTAAGTCATGTATATTTAGTCATCAGGCTATATGCAAAGGCAATGACTATACTTTGCATATAACCTGATGAACTAAATATACAGGACTTCAAAGGAAAAATTTGTACTTTGAGTTCATTAGCTATTTGCAAAGGCAAAGAAGTCCTTTGAAGTCTTATAAATGTTTAGTTCATCAGGCTTTATACAAAAACAAACATTTTTAGTTCATCAGGCCATGTACAAAGGGTACTTTTTAAAAAATCATTTCCAATCAAATCTTGAGAAGTTTTGGATACTTATGGCAAAGATAGAATTATTAATGGACATATACAATACTATAAGTCTTAGGTGAGCTGAATATGTGAAATTTGTGATGGTAGCCACAAGTCACTTCCAGTTTTCTCATATTCAACCATCTTGCTTGTTTTATTCTTTTAGCCTTTTTCCTGAAAAAGATGTTCTAAACCTAACTATGCCACCCATGAGTAAGTATTGTATTCTTGGAATTTTCATTGCAAAACAATCCTACTGTTGTACCAAATATGCGAATCAAGTGCAGCTATCACTTCTATCAGAGGAATTAAAGACGAAGGCAATCAAGTCTAACTTTCCCTCCTATATGGCTCTCCTGCTTCTTTCATAACCTCATATTTCCTAAGACCTCTCAACAGGGCAGGATGACATTCAAACAGGTTATGAATTGTGTGAGATTCATCTCAAACCTTTGGATCTATCTACACTTAGCTGTGCATTGTACATGAAATAAGATTTGTTTGTAATCTTTGGGCTTATTTACATATGGCTATGCATTGTTTATTATTTTGGGGCCTGCATACACTTAACTATGCATTATAAACAGGGTAGAGTTAATTCACTCTATACTTCTGAGGTTTTTATCTCTCTTGGCCATAGATCTTTAAAGCTTATATTGTTCAATGTCATCCATTAACAAATTTGTTTTGTTATTATATATTCCTCCTAAACTATGTTGATAATTGCCATGAAACTCTACATACTCAATTCATACCATAGTCAAGTTGGTACTAAATGAAAATGGCACTATTTGCACATCCAATATGGCCACCACAGGGGCTATCTTGACAAACTTGTTATTGCTACTCATCCTGAAATGGATGGTAACATTACCATGGGGTTTTTACTAAATGTCTAGTTAATCCTAAATAAAAATTGTACCAATCTGATGTCAGTTAATTGCCACCACAGTGACCAATTTCTGAACTGAAAGTCATTGTCATTTGGGTTGTTACCAGAAAACTTCTTATGATGTCTAGTTGGTCTTAAAAAAAAATGGTGCTGAATTTATATTTAATATGCACACCAGCTTTAAAATCTCAACACTACTTCAAATGAATGGATGGTCATATCAGTATGGGATTTTCACTATAAGCCTTTTTGTCTAGTTGGTTCTAAATGAAAATGGTACCAATCGGATTTCCAATATGGCAACCACAGTGGCCAACTTGAAAATCTTGTTGCTCCTATTCTTTAAAGGAAAGGCATATTGTGATTTGGCTTGCAGTGAAAGACCTTTTATGATGTCCACTTGGACCTAAATGAAAATGGTGCTGATCTGATTTCCAACATGGAGTTTTTATTTAACAACTT